AAATTAAAAAAAAAAAGAAGAAGAAAATGGAAAAGTCACAAATATATGAAGATTAAACAACATGCTACTGAATAACCAATGTGTCAATGAAGAAACCAAAGGAGAAATTTAAAAATGCCATTAAAATACAAATACAACTTACCAAAATCTATGGGATGCAGCAAAATCAGTTCTAAGAGGAAAGTGCATAGTGATACAGGCCTACTTCAAGAAACAAGAAAAATCTCAAACTATCTAACTTTACATTTCAAGGAACTAGAAAAAAAAAGATCAATGAACTAAGAGCTGGCTCTTTGAAAACATAAATAAAATTGACAAACCTTTAGCTAGACTAACTCGGGAAAAAAGAGGGCTCAAATAAAATTTTTTAAAAAGATTTACAACTGATATCACAGAAATACAAAGGATCATAAGAGACTACTATGAACAATTATATACGAGCAAATTGGCCAACCAAAGAGAAACGGATAAATTCCTAGAAAAATACAATCTTCCAAGGCTGAATAATGAAGAAATAAACTTTTGAATATGTTGATTACCAGTAAGATTAAAGCAGTAATCAAAACCCTCCCAACAAACAAGAGTCTAAGACAAGACAGATTCATTGGTGAATATTACCAAATATGTAAAGAAGAGTTAATACCAATGCTTATCAAATTCTTCCAAAACGAAGAGGAGACAATGCTTCCTAACGCATTTTACAAGGATACTACAAAAAAAGAAAACTACAGAAAAATATCCCTGATGAACATAGATGCAAAATCCTCAACAAAATACTAGCAAACTAAATTCAACAATAAATTAAAGGGATCATCAAGTGGGATTTATTCCATGGATGCAAGGATGATTCAACATCTGCCAATCAATCAATGTGATATATCACATTAACAAAATGAAGGCTAAAAATCAAAGATCATCTCAGTAGATACAGGAAAAACATTTGACAAATTTCAACATCCATTTATGATAATAACTTTCAACAAAGTGGGTATAGAGGTAATGTACCTCAACATAATAAAGCCATATATAACAAACCTAAGCTAACATCATATTAAAGGGTGAAAGGCTGAAAGTCTTTCCTCTAAGATCAGGAACAAGACAAGGATGCCCACTACTACTACGTTTAGCTCAACATAGTATTAGAAGTTCTAGCCATGGCAATTAAGCAAGAAATAGAAATAAAATTCATCCAAACAGAAAGGGAATGGGGAGCCAGGTTGGATCAGTGGGTTGAGTGTCCAACTCTTGATTTTGGCTCAGGTCATGATCTCACAGTTTGTGGATTTGAGCCCTGCATTGGGCTCTGCACTGACAGTGTAGAGTCTGCGTAGGATTCTCTCTCTGCCTCTCTGGCTGCCCCTTCCCTACTCATGCTCTATCTCTCTCTCTCTCTCTCTCTCTCTCTCTCTCAAAATAAATAAATAAATAAATGAATAAATAAATAAATAAATAAATAAATAAACAAACAAACAAACAAACAAACAAACATAAAAAAAAGAAGAAAGGTAAGAAGTAAAACTATCATTATTTGAAGATAATACATTATATATAGAAAACCTGAAAGACTCAACTGGAAAACTGTCAGAACTAATAAATTTAGTAAAGATGCAGGGTAAAAATCAATATACAAAAATCTGTTGTATTTCTATACACTAACAAAGAACTATTAGAGAAATTTAAAAAGCAATCCCATGTATAATTACATCAAAAGGAATAAAATATCTAGGAATAAATTTAACCAAGGAGGTGAGAGAACTGTATGCTGAAAACTGTAAGATATTAACAAAAGAAATTGAAGAACAAATAATGTAATATATTCTGTACAAATGGAGTGAAATAATTCATATTATTAACATTAATATTAAAATGCCCATAGGGGCACCTGGGTGGCTCAGTCAGTTATGCACCTGACTCTTGATGTTGGCTCAGGTTATGATCTCACAGTTTGTGAGATCAAGCCCTGTGTTGGACTCTGTGCTGACAGTGGGCAGCTTGCTTGGGATTCTCTTTCTCTTACTCTCTCTACTTCTTGCCTGCTTTCCTTCCTTCTCTCCTTCTCTTTCAAAATAAATAAGCACACATAAATAAATAAATAAATAAATAAATAAATAAATAAATAAATAAGTAAGTAAATAAAATGTCCATACCCAAAGCAATCTATAGACTCAATGCAATCCCTATCAAAATTCCAATGACACATTCACATAAATAGAACGAATAATCCTAAAATTTGTATGGGACCTCAAAAGACCATGAATAGCCAAAACAATCTTGATAAGAACAACCAAGCTGAAGGTATCATGCTCCCTGATTTCAAACTATATTTAAAAAGTATGATAATGAAAACAATATGGTATTGACATAAAAAAAGTCACATAGATCAATGGAATGGAATAAATAGCCAAGAAATAAACCCATGCACATATGGTTAATTAACTTATAACAAAAGAGGCAAGAGTATACAATGGGTAAAAGATAGTCTCTTTAATAAATGGCCTTGGGAAAAGTGGACAGCCATATGCAAAAGAATGACATTAGACTACTCTCTAATACTATACACAAAAATAAACTCAAAATGAATTAAAGATTTTAATTTAAGACCTGAAACCATAAAACTCCTAGTAGAAAATATAGGCAATAAGTTCCTTGACATTATTCTTGGCAATTTTTTTTAGATCTGACTCCAAAAGTGAAGGCAACAAAAGCAAAAATAAACAAGTGGAAATACATCAAATTGAAAACCTTCAGCAAAGTAAATCATCATAAAAATTAAAAGACAACTTACTGAATTGGAGAAAACATTTCCAATTTCTATATCCTATAAGAGGTTAATATCCAAAATGTATTTTAAAAACTCACAAGGACGTAGAGAAAGGGAAACCCTCTTGCCCTGTTGGTGGGAATGCAAACTGGTACAGCCACTCTGGAGAAGAGGTTCCTTAAAAAACTAAAATTAGAACTACCCTGTGACCCAGCATTTTCACTATTAGATACCTACCCAAAGGATACAAAAATACAGATTCAAAGGGGTACATGCACCCCAATGTTTGTAGCAGCCTTATCCACAATGGCCAAACTATGGAGAGGGTCCAACTGTCCATCAACTGATGAATAAAGAAGATGTGGTATACATACATAATGGAATATTACTCAGCGATCAAAATGAATGAAATCTTGCCATTTGCAACATGGATGGAGTTAGAATGTATTATTTTAAGTGAGATAAGTCAATCAGAAAAAGACAAATGCCATAAGATTTCAGTCATATGTGGAATTTAAGAAACAAAACAGATGAACATATGGGAAGGGGGGAAAAGAGGAGAGAGGGAAACAAACCACAAGAGACTCTTAATGATAGAGAACAAACTGGGGATTGATGAAGGGAGATGGGTGGGAGATGGTCTAGATGGGTGATGTAATATCCACTGGGTGCTGTATATAGTGATGAATCCCTGAATTCTACTCCAGAAAACAATATCGCACTACATGTTAACTAAAATTTAAGTTAAAAAAATAAGAGGGGTAGAAAGTGGGAAAAAAACACCCATACAACTGAACATTGAAACAAAACAGTCAATTAAAAAATGGACATAGGATCTAAATAGGCACTTTTTTTTCCAATAAAGATATACAGATGACCAACAGGCACATGAAAAAGTGCTTAACATCACTAGTCATCAGGGAAATACAAATCAAGACCACAATGACTTATCACTTCACACCTGTTGGAATGGCTGTTATCAAAAAGACAAGAAATAACTAGTGTTCGTGAAGATGTGAAGATGGGAACTCACATGCACTGTTGGAAGGAAGGTAAACTGGTGCAGGCATTATGGAAAACAGCATGGAGTTTCATAAAGAAATTAAAAATAAGTTATGGAGATGAAAAATACAGCTTAGGGAATATAGTAATAATATAAAGTAAAAGTAAAAATAGAACTACCATATGATCAGGGCACCTGGGTGGCTCAGTCGGTTGAGTCCAGCTCTTGGTTTCGGCTCAGGTCATGATCTCATGGTTTGTGAGTTCAAGCCCCAGATCAGGCTCTGTGCTAACAGCACAGAGCCTGTTTGGGATGGATTCTCTGTCTCCTCTTTCTTTGCCCCTCCCCTTCTCTCTCTTTCTAAATAAATTCCAAAAAATTTAAAAAAAAAAACACCTAAAAAAAAGAACTACCATATGATCCAACAGTTCTACCTCTGGGCATTTCATCAGAAAAAAAAATAACACTAATTCAAAAAGATAAATGCACCCCTATGTTCATTGGAACATTATTTATAATAGCCAAGATATGAAAAGAACCTAAGTGTCTAACAATGGATGAATGGATAAAGAAGATATGGTATAAACACACACACACACACACACACACACACACACACACACACACACGCACAATGGAATACTACTCAGCCATAAAAATAAATGGAAGACTACCATTTGTGTTAACATGGATGGACCTTGAGGGCATTACGCTAAGTGAAATAAGTCAGACAGAGAAATACAAATATTATATGATCTCACTTATACAGGGAATCCAAAAAACAAAACAGGTGAAGAAACAAAACAAAATTTATGGATTCAGAGAACAGAGTGGTGGTGGTGAGGTAGAAGGGGGTGTTGCCAAATGTCCAAAATGAGTAAAGGGTGTTGGGAGGTACACACTTCCAGCTGTGAAATAAATAGGTCATGGGGATGTGATGTGTGGCATGGGGACACAGTCAATGGTACTGTAGTGCATATTCGAAGGTTTCCAGGAGAATAGATCATGAAAGTTTTCATCATAAGAAGAAAAAATACTTTTGGTAACTTATGGTAACAGATGGCGGCTGGACTTACTGTGGTGATCATTTGCTGTGTGTACAGGTGTCAACTCATCATGTTGTACACTTAAGATAATATAATATTTATGTCAACTATGTTTCAATTTTAAAAAGAGTTAAAGACCTTCTTTAATAATGTCAGGAAAATAACATGATACTCACTAGTCATCACTCACCTTTGGACCTGGTAATCCAGGTAACCCAGGATTTCCATGTGGCCCTGGTATGCCCTGCAAATAGTAAAAAAGGTCAGATCGATCTTAGAACAGATACAAATAACAGTCAGTTATAACTGACTATAAAACAGTTGTTTTAGGGGCGCCTGGGTGGCGCAGTCGGTTAAGAGTCCGACTTCAGCCAGGTCACGATCTCGCGGTCCGTGACTTCGAGCCCCGTGTCAGGCTCTGGGCTGATGGCTCAGAGCCTGGAGCCTGTTTCCGATTCTGTGTCTCCCTCTCTCTCTGCCCCTCCCCCGTTCATGCTCTGTCTCTCTCTGTCCCAAAAATAAATAAAAACGTTGAAAAAAAAAAAAAACAGTTGTTTTAGATACAAATAACAGTCAGTATAAATATTTCATAGCATAATTTAATTAAAATGAATGTTACCTCTTTTTTTTTTTCCACAAAGCTTTTTTAATTTTTTCTGAGATGTTGGATTGTTCAGCCTTGGAAAGGAGAGCTACACTAGAGCGGTACTGCAGTTTCTGTCTTTTGATTCAAAACACTGTCTTGAGGTGTTTACCTCCTTTATTTTTCACCCCTATCTCCAGCCATACTGCATAGTGCTACTACTAGAAGCTATGCAGAGTAAGAAGCCTAAAAACAAGGAAGTGCAAATGGATACTCCGGTCAACATGTGTTAACCCTTTCTGTACTTGAGTTTTTACTTATGCCATTATGTATCTCTTAAAGACTCATTTCATTTAACTTTACCCCCTACAGCTGCCCAAATCATTCTTCAAGTGTCAGCTAGATCCCACCTCAGTTTTATTTATTTTATTTATTCTTTTATATAAATAAATATTATGTGGGGCTTGAGCTCACAACCCTGAGATCAAGACCTGAGCTGAGACCAAGAGTCTGACACTTAACCAACTGGGCCACCCAGGTGCCCCCCCCACCTGTTTTTTAAATCCTAGATATACCATGATAAAGTGATTTCTCTTTCTTACTAGCTTTCATAGAAATTGCTACATGTAAAGTTAATTTGTACTTAACTGTATATCGCTTTAGGACATTTATTAGACTGTTCTAATCTGTTATTTAAATATTTTATTGCCCTTTTAACTACTTTATGACATGTGCCATTTAGTTCTAGGATTAAAAATTTTTTGAAAACGGACTGTTTTTAGTATTACCAGTATAGCACTTGGAACATATTAGACACTCAATAAATACTTGTTGGTTTGAATTTAATAATTGCTTCTATTTATTGAGTGCCTACTATATGTAAATAACTGCGTTAATGCTTTACATTTCTTATTACTAATCCTTATGACAATCCTGCAAGGTGGCTATTTTTACTCCCCTTTACAAGTGAAGAAACTTAAGCTTATGGAACCATCAAGTGGAGGAACTAAGATCCACCTCTAGAAAACCTTCCAGGTCTCCAGGCCCCCTACACTCATTTGGGTTTGGTACCCACCTCTCAGCTCTTCAGCCATACCTCTATCTTAACATATAACATATAGTTAGTAATTACTTATTTTTCTGTCTTTTCAATTCTGAATTAATAGAGCATCGTGTTTCAGAAAGGAAAGGGGTGTCAGCAATGGCAGTATTGGAAGTATATCTAGCAAGACTAAAACTAAGGAAAACGATTAGATTTTATGATATGTCATTTGCAACCTTCAAAAATTATTAGATTAAATTATTATTAAAATAAATTTTAATAAAATAGATGGAAAAATTTATGGGGCTTTACACATAAGCATTGATGTAGGGCCACGGCATAAACTATTATTTTATAAAGTTCAATAGGGCAACAACAGTGAGCTAGGACAAAAACTAGGAAAAATTAATAACAGTGAAAGTTTGAGGTTTTTTTTTTTTTTTTTTTTTTTGAAAAGGGATAATGGTTTGGTTGTTGCCACATGAGCTAAAATCTAGGGAGAGAAAAAAAATGTGAAGTTGCAAGTTTTAAGTTAAATAATGGAATGGAGATAAAATTAGGAACACAAATGTAATAATTAGCCTGGAGAAGAGGAATACTGTTCCTTCCTTAAAGAAAGGATTAGACAAATAAGTGAAAAAAATAGGTAGAAATGAGGGAAGGAAACTGGTGTACTATGAGAATAGATGGAGACTCAGACTGAAGGTCTTGCTGTAGGAGAACAGCCTCAGTAGTGGGATTGGTACAGAGAGAGATCCAGTCCCCAGAAAGGTGGGATCCAGACAGAGAGCCAGAAGAATGGAAATGGTCTGCCGGCTATGGGAGTGGGCGTGTGGATGAGAGACTGGAGGAGGAACGTGATAGGTCAAGTATAGAGAAGTGAAACAAATGTTTAACCGCAGCTACAGCCAGTGAGCGTTCGTCTGCGCCTTCTTGTCCGTATGAGGACAGGAGTTGACTGTGAATATGGACGACTTAAAGTAATATTTCAGGACGCTTTTTCACTATATTGTGTGTAAGATAGACAAAAATCGGGACAGAAAGTGGATTATACACGGCATGTGCATCTGTCTTTATAACACACGGTTGCAGTTCCTTTTCTGGCTCTTGGAAGAATTTCTGTTAGTAAAAGTCCACATTTATTTTTTAGGTTTGAAAGAAACAAATTTTAACACAGCAGTAAATCTTTTGTTGGACATGTGTAATGTGAGAAACCACTGCTGATCCTTAAGGCAGCTTTTTCCTCAGGTTAATTATTTTTCTAGTCAGTAGCTCCAGCATTTTCCACTATGTAATCCAGGAATGTACTATTTTAAGGCAACCCACTCCTCCTCATTTCCCAAAGCAAATGAAACCCACCTCGAACTATCAACTACCCATGAGATCGCTTTATAACTAAGAATAATGTTACAAGTAGCACTAATTTATAAATTTGATAATCCTTCTCAGGCAGGTTCACAGAGAGTGCCTTGGCTGGGTGTTTACGGTCAAATAAACAAGCTGCACGTGTTCCTGAGTTTCTCTTGAATTGGCAAAGGTAGACTAAGTTTGAAGACCCAGGCAGGTTTCCAAAGGAAGTACATACTGTACGATGCTGGGGAAAAAAACACACTGCAGTGTTACTAATTCTAACAGCAGTGGGACACAGAGCCCATTTACTCACCCGTGGACCTCTCCTTCCTGATGGGCCTGGGATGCCTGCTGGACCAGGTGGACCCTTGGAAAACAAATGCCAAGATGTTAGGCACAATTATGGACACATCTTTTCTCACAAGACTTATTAAGATTCCCACTTTAGGGCTTTGTTTTCAGTCCCCAGTTCCCAGCTGATGATGATTTTAAAGTAATATGAATCCCCTCACCCTAATCAGCAGGGGTGAGAGTTGAAACTCAAGTGTCCTCTTTAATCTGGCCAGAAATGGCCGTAGGAAGTCTGTGACTTATGGTTACAGCCACTGTATCTGGCTTTTACAGGAACCATAACTAGTAGTTTTGTGGGTAACTTTTACCTAAATTTACTTTTACTACTGAAGGCAGAATTCAATTTAGGGTTGGGAGACCAACAACTACAGGTCGTTTCAGACACATTTCAAAAGACTTGCCCGGAAAAATTAAAGCACTGACTATGTTATGTTCTCTTAAAAGACTTATAGCAAGGATCTGTATAATGTGTTAAACTGTTATGAGATCCTTCTTGTATATTCAGTAATAAATCTGCCTTGCACCAAGTATAGCATACCAGGAGTTCAGTCAGAGACTTAAATGGTTTGCAAAACAAAGTAAGAAAGCAAACACTGATCAATTTTTAAAGCATTCTGATTAAATATACTAAATAATATTAAATATATTAAATAAATACTAAATATGTTAAGTAATATTGAATAGGAAGAAGTAGTTTCCTTCTTTACTTCCTCACGTGATGACTTATGTCGTCTTTTTTTACTTTAACAATCAACTGGGGCAGAATAAATGTTCATTTGAGACGTGGTTAACATATGCATTCATTCATGTTGCATTCACTTAATTGTTGCAGAGCACTCTGCTGATACGGAATTATTCTTGGTGTCTCTAGAGCATACACATATTCCACTTTACAAATATTCATTCAAGGTTGCATTAAAAATAGCATGAATGTTGAAATTCGGCATATCAAGGTTAAAGTGCTGGCCTTAGCATTAACACATAGCATGGCCTAAGAGCCTTGATTTTATGCAGCATTTTTTTCTCATTCCTCATTCTGATATTATCTACTCTTCAGAACTTTCTCCTTTTTTTTAATATTACAGCTGTTTTGAAGTTTTCTAATCCTCTTTATATTTTTCAAGCTATTTTCCTTTGATTGTATTTTTTCTTCTCCCATGCCCTAACTTGATTTAAAAAAAAAAAAAAAACTATTTATTTATTTATTTATTTTGAGAGAGAGAAAGATAGTGCAAGTGGGAGAGGGGCAGAGATGGAAGGACAGAGAGAGAATCCCAAGTAGGTTCTGCACTGTCATTGCAGAGCCCAATGCGGGGCTTGAACTCAACAAGCTGTGAGATCAATACCTGAGCTGAAGTCAGATGCTTAACTGTCTGAGCCACCCAGGCACCCCAATAAAACCTTTCATATATCTCCTAACATTGAGACAGAAGTACTATTTCCATTCAACCTCAGACGGAGGGCATCCTCCTTCCTGAACTGTTCAAATATTTTAACAGCTATCATTATATCACTAACGTCCATCAAAAATTGACTTTCACTTATTTTTTTTAAAAACTGAAATCCTTTTCACAATTCTGGTTCTGTTGTTATAATCGGAAGTTAACAGCTATTTATTTGAAGTCCCAAAAAATAAGAAAAATGAAAAACTAAATGGAAAATTAAAACAGAATGTCTAGTTTGGTTTATTACCCCATGACACTATATTACAACAAAAGAAAACAGTATTCCAATTACATAGAAAAGGTAATTAATATTAGATACTGGGCAAGAAAGAAAGTCTATTTTATGTCATGATTGAAATATTTGAGTTATTTAATAAGCACTGTATAAAAATCAATTTTAACTTCTTCACAAATTTGCATTTTCAAATCACTGAGAATAGATTAATAGGGATTTCTACAAACTAGGGAAGAAATTTGATTCTATATGGCATGACTTGTTTGATGAAAATAAGTGATTTTCTATAAATAAAGTTAAGTACTAAAAATGGCACTTTAACTTTGAGGTTATTGCTTATTAAGAGAAAGGGATGCCTGGGCTCAGTTGTTGACCATCTTGATTTTGGCTTAGGTTATGATCTCGTGGTTCATGTGATCTAGCCCTGCTTCAGATTCTCTCTCTCTCTCTCTCTCTCTCTGCCCTTCCCCCTTTCACACATGCCCACTCTCAAGAATAAATAAACTTTAAAAAAAGTTAAAAAAAAAAAAGCATAATTCCATGAAAAGAGTAACGGTTTTGCAATTGTCTAATCTAGGTTCAAATCAGGTCTCAGTGATTTACTAGCTGAATGACCTTGGACAAGTCAGTTACTCTTTCTAAGCCTTAGTTTCCTCATCTTTAAAATATTGATGATAGGGGCGCCTGGGTGGCGCAGTCGGTTAAGCGTCCGACTTCAGCCAGGTCATGATCTCGCGGTCCGGGAGTTCGAGCCCTGCGTCAGGCTCTGGGCTGATGGCTCAGAGCCTGGAGCCTGTTTCTGATTCTGTGTCTCCCTCTCTCTCTGCCCCTCCCCTGTTCATGCTCTGTCTCTCTCTGTCCCCAAAATAAATAAAAACGTTGAAAAAAAAAATTTTTAAAAAAATAAAATATTGATGATAAAGATCTACCTTTCAGTTATTGTGATCATTAAAGATACTGTATATAGAATAACTACCACTATGGCTGAGAAATAGTAGTTAACCAGTAAACTATAGAATAATGAATTTTTTAAAGGTATACATGGTGCACAGTAAGCACTCAATTAATGTTAGTTATAATATTATAATTACTAGGGGTTTTTTGTTTGTTTGTTTGTTTTAGATAGAGTGCACATGAGTGGGGTAGAGGGCAGAAAAATCTTAATCAGGCTCCAGCTGAGCCTGATGTGGGGCTCAGCATGGGGCTTGATCCCATGACCATGGGATCTCAACCTGAGCCGAAATCAAGAGTCAGGTACTCAACCAACTGAGCCACCCAGGCTACTAAGGTAATTATTATATATTATCAAATATATAATTGTCTTAAATATATTCACTAGACCAAAACTTCTAAAAGATAGTAATGCCTGGTCAATTAATCTTGGAAGTCCTGCATCTAAAATTCCTTTTAAAAATTCATTCACTCATTCATTCATTCACTCATTCGATAAGCATTAGTAAGCATCAAGCCCTCCGACAGCTTCGAGTCTAGAAAAAAGACACACGTTAACAGATAAGCACATAATTATACATTTTACTTAATGATATGAAAGAAGAGAACAAGCAAGCGACAGAGAGATTAACATAGCTAGTGCACCTAATTTATTTGTGGTATCAGAGGAGGCTTCTCTGAGGAAGTAAGTGCTCATACTGAAAAGATGAATAAGAGTTAGAAAAGAGGAGAAAGTAAAATTCCAGAAAATAGGAATAAAATGAACGAGGGCATGAGTAAAAGGAAACAAACAAAAAGCACAGTCTTATTGAAGAAGAAAAAGAACACTCAGGGAGAGTAAGAGAAAGTGGCAAAAAGGAGGCTGCAGAGGTAAGCAGGGGCCAGATCACACACCACTGCACAGGTTATGATAAAAAGTCTTTCATTTATTCTAAGTGCTTTATTCTTCTGCCACTGAAGAGTTTAAGCAGCTAACTGAGGTGATCTGGTTTGTGTTTTTAAAAAGATCACTAGAGAATTTACATAAAACATGGCAGAATGAAAACATTTTTAAAACTACCCTCCATCCCTCAAAACCCACTGAAAACAACAAAAACACTGAAAGAAAAAAAAATCATCTCCAACGAAACAAGGAAAGGACCACAACCACAAACCACAAAATATGAAGATTATTTTCCAAATACTGAGAAACTTTGCGGTAAGGAAAGATGTTGAGAGATGACCAGAAAGAAAAACCTCCTCAGATTTCAAATCTTGAACAGGCTACAGATATCTAAAACTATCAGTCTTGAATGTTCATCTCAAAAATGCTTTGATTACACAATGATGAGGCTTAAGGGAATGAGAAAGCCACAGTAGATATGATTAATGATCCAGTGAAGACCCAGCTTCAAACAGCCAAGAGTAAGAAAGGTGGAACTGAAGAGGAGGAACCCATCATTGTTATGATCTACAACCAAACCTCCTAACCTCAGAAGATGTCTGGTGGGGACAGGGGGTGAAAGACAGGAGCATAAATCATCATATTAGTTCTTAGAGGGCCTATGAAATAAAAGATTTCATAACAAATTGTACATGAAAGTAAGAGGAGATACGTCTCTGGATAGAGGACAAAATAAATATAATAAGATGGCGTTTAAAGGCAGCAACCTAAAGTTGACACTGTGTACCACTCCACCTTAGTTCCCTCTGTTTCTCCCTATGCTATTCTAAAACAAATAGTGCTCCAGTTAGAGTTGCCTTTATTTTATTTATTTATTTATTTTTTAAGTTTATTTATTTTCAGAGAGAGAGCATAAGCAGGGGAGGGACAGAGAAAGAAGGAGAGAGAAAGAATCCTGAGCAGGCTCCATGCCGTCAGCACGGAACCAGAGGTGGGGCTCAAACTCACGAACCATGAAATCATAACCCCAGCCGAAATCAAGAGTCAGATGTTTAACTAAATGAGTCACTCAGGTGCCCCAGAGCTGCCTTTATTTTAAAAATGGCTAATAACCAGAAAGAAACCAGCCAGGGGCCTTTACATACTTATTGAGGGGAGGGGAAAGTATGAGGACAGAAACATAAATTAAAAGTAGATGAAAATTGTTTACCAGAAGAGGAATTACTTCATGCAACAGAGAAAAAGTCCAGTCATATAGTTCACTATAGATGCAAAGGATTTCAAGATGCCATGTTTCTATAAAAAGAGAGGTCAAAGAAGAGTTATAAGAAATAAAAATAACAATGAAGGTAATGAAATGTGAACCAGAAGAGTTTAAGAAATACATGAAAGAGAAAAAAGAAACCATTATAGATGAAAGCCATGTCTGATACCATAAAAACTGATTAAATACAATTTAAAAATCAATGAAGGAATGTGAGTGCAGAATAACTGAATTCACATGAAACAAAATAGAAAAAGCAATCACACATACATGCTTGTAGAGAAAATGATAGATAATGTCTATCATCACAAAGGACATCCTGAAGAAGAATGTGGAAAAATGGAAAAGAAAAATATTTGAGGATATAAGGGGAGATGTTTCTATAATCAAATAAAAATAACCTTTGTATCAAAGGCATACCATAAAAAAAAACTGATACAGACTGATATAGGTTTAATAAACTTCAGAGATGATTGAAGAACTGTACGGGCATATGAAAGAAGAAATGGTCACCTACAGGTAGGAAAAATCAGGCTGGCCTGAGATTTCACATGGTAACATCTACTTCAAGAAGTGGTGCAACAATCCCTACAAAGTTCATTATTTCTTCATCATCCACACTTTCATTAGCTTCCTAAAAAATCTACCTTTAGTCTTCTACATTATGCTGAAGTTGGACTCACAAAGTTGACTTTCCCATCAGAAGAGCTAATGCATTTCTTCCACTTTTTCTCAGTCCTCATCCTTTTTGACTTCTATGTAGCTTTTGGCACTGCTGATCAATTTTTTCTCAAAACTCTCTTCTTGGGCTTCTGTGACAGTGCACTATATACTTCTCTCCCATCTGACTGTTCATTCACACTTCTGCTTTTTTTCTTCCATACTCCCAAAGCGAACATTCCCCATGATTTGACTCTTGACTCTACGCCAAAATCCTTTCTTTGAAAATTATCCAACCCTACACCTTCAGCTATAATATTGATAGGAAGACTCCTGAGTCTACATTCTTATCATGATCTCTCTTTTTCATTTCAGCTTCTTCAACTTTTCCAAAGGCTGACTGAATTTTCAATAGTACCTGAAATGTTTTAACTTAACTTCCTCTCCTAAAATCGACTTCCTCTCTTAGTTACTAATTTTAGTAATGGTATTACCATTCTTCCAGTCCACAGACTTAAAACTTTAAAGTCATCTTTCTCTTCCTTTTTGTTTTGTCCCTAGGTCCAATTAATTTCCCATATATTTCTTCAAAATATCTCCTGAATTCTACCTTTTCTTTGCATTTTCACATTTTCCTAATGTCTTAGTTTTGTAACATCAAGATGGTAGTGGGAACTTCCTGTCTGTGCTGGGCACTACTAACAGACTGACTTCTCCATTAATATCTCTGCTTAGAAACCTACAAAATTCCCCATGAGAATGAGATAAAGTAAGAACTATCAGTTTGACAATTAAGACTCTACAATCTGACAACATCTATCTTGGGTCTTATCTTTGTCCAACAATATTCAGTCTAACATCATGAGAGAGTTTAAGCTTTAGAGGCAAAAAACGTGAATCCTGGCTCTGTCATTTATTAGCAATGTGGTTATGAGCAAGTAAATTGACTTTTCTGGGTTTCAGTTTCTTCACCTGAAAAAATGGGGATAATAATTCCAACCTCACCAAGTTATTTTAAGATAATGAATTTAAAGGGCATGGTCAAGCATCTGTCACAAAGTAAAAACTCAGTAAATGATAGCTATTATGCTGCTTTTCCTATTAAAAAAATAGGTTCGTTCCTTTCACCTATCAAATTATATCCATTCTTTGAGGCCTACATTATAACTAATTTGTCCACAAGACAATTCTGAATTATTCCGAACTATTCCAAGCTATTCCAAACAGCTCAGCCTTAAGTGATCTTTCATAGGGATCACCTCAGAAAGCACTTCTCTTGCTTTTGAACATTTGTACCTTATGCACTTAGTTTGTAAGCTCCTTCTGAGCAGTGACTGTGTTATCCATGCTTTGTGTTCCTGCTTTTCCCATAACAGAAACTAAGTAAATATCTGTTAAATATTACTGCTTCATCCATCAATATTGAAATGACTAGTTTGGGATTTATAGAAGAGATTTATGCTCATCTCATCATACTGAAGAAAGTAAATGGCTTCCATAACTATTTGCTTAATATGACCTGCCCAGTGGCTCAATTTTATTACTAATATGTTGATAATTAGTTGCTATCACTGAAAAGAATTTCTCTATAATAATGTTATTCATACTTTATTTTAAGACATTTAAATATTCACTCTAAGAGTTGTTCAATACCTATCAAGTCATTTCAAGCAAGAACCACAAAGGAAACATAAGCTAAGCAAGTGACATCATCTTCTCCCATCCAATGGCTTCTGAACTAAAACAATGATTCAAATTTTATTTTCATAAAATAAAAAAATACTTTAATATATATTTTAGTCTGCTTGTGATTAAAAATATTATTTTCTAAACACATAAAAGTTGATTATTTAACATATACAAACATAAAAGGCAAAAACATAATGTTTCTAATGTGATTTTTTTAACGTTTATTCATTTTTGAGACACAGAGAGAAACAGAGTGTGAGTGGGGCAGGGGCAGAGAAAGAAGGAGACACAGAATCCCAAGCAGACTCCAGGGTCTAAGGTGTCAGCACAGAGCCTGACATAGGGCTCGAACTCACAGACCATGAGATCATAACTTGAGCTGAAGTCAGACACTTAACCAACCGAGCCACCCAGCTCCCCCCAATGTAATTTTAAATAGCTTAAAATGGGTTTTAAATGATTTATAAATTTTTCAAATGCTCAGCTGTAATTGCACCTACACAACGACAGAATTTCAGAGCTAAAAACATCAATCTATTATCGTATAGTTTTGTTTATACATTATCAAATAAGTGATTTCGCTATTTGCTTGTTTTTTTCATTGAATAGGCCGATGAGCTCTTAGTTACTTTTTGTATTAGGTAGATGGAGCTTTTATTAATCTGTAAATGTAAATTAACTATACCATTAAAGATGTAATGAAATATGTTACATTTAGAACAATAATGTAAGGTTTTGTTTTTTACCAGGCAGTGATTCACTACAAAATTATCTCTAAAGTAAATTTTACTCTCTATTTTAGTTCATTTGATATTATTTTGCTGAAAGAAGTGTTTAATGATTATCAATTAATTTAATTGATGTATTTAACGTGTTTTTCTTTAGTGTACTATAACTTTTATATCCTTCTCTTAACATGACTGTGTATAAGTCTATGGTTTTTCTATAAAGAATGCTAATCCAAATTTAGCAGTTGAATTCTTGGTTGAATTTCAACTGAACAAGAAAAACATATAGCTTACTCACCACTTTATCAGAATTAAGTAACCTTTCAGCCTGCCAATATAAACAACAAAAAATATAATATTTAAGCCAACACTGCATTCTGGCTGGATGCATTATAGTAACCGTAAATTCATCACTATAGCCAGGATACATGTCTGAAACAGATCTGATCTATTCTGTATTCTTCAGTCTAGTGATTTTTGATAAGTTAATGCATTAAGACAGATTTAAAAAACAACAACAACAACTTACGGGAGGTCCAGTGTCCCCTTTTGGCCCTCTCAGATTCTCCATTTCGAGCATTGTATTAAGATCCTCATAATAATAATAATAATCATAAAGGTCAGTCTCATAGCTATTTTCGATGGGATAGGTAGCATCAGGATCAATTTCACCTTCCTTCCTTAGGTCAAGGTGATTGTCCACAGATGGCTCATCTGTCACTCTGTATAAGGTTGTGTTTAAAATCTGTTGCAGTTCCATGAGTTCATTAGTGTGTAGATTTGCTGTGATAGCCTTCTTGAGATTAGTAATTGTTTCTTGTTTTATATGTGGAAGAATAGATGATATCTTCTTAAATGGTGACAGACCAGTTAGTTTATCATTATGTTGTGTGACATTGTCGGATACATTTGAAAAAGAACTAAATTTCTCCTTGCTATTTGTTTTCGCCTTTTTGAGGTGATGGGTCATTGACAGACTTAAATTTGTCTGAGTATGTTCCTCAGTGATCATTTCTTTGTCTTGAATCCCATGGTTTACAAGATCCACAGCAGAAACATTCCTTGAATGAAGAGAAATGAATTGAGATTTTGGTATTTGGTGTTCTTGTTGCTTATGGACTGTTGCAGAATCATTATTTATGATATTTGGAATGTTTTTGCCTTTGGTAAATGTGTCCTCAGACAGCACTTTTTCACCAAATTGTTTGGGCAAGGGAGAGTTTTCCAGTATCTCAGCTGGTACGATGGTTGTATGAAGATGGTTTGTCTCAGGGTGACAACGATGTTTCACATATCTACAATAGTTTGCAGATGCTTCTGCAGAAGGAATAATATCCAACTGACATACTATTCCTTCAAAATGGACAGAATTATTATTCATATTTCCTAGTGTAAACACACTGTTAGAATCAAAAGTCTGGACTTCCAAAAGAGTCTCTCTGCTAAAATATTTCTTTCCACACTCAACAGACATTGAAACAACTTGGTTTCTAATAGTAATGGCAAAGAAGTGCCATCGCTCATCATGAACACTGTAGTTGAAAAACACAGACTGCTTTCCTCCAAGGTATACTACTAATTTTTTAGGTAATAATTGCACTCCTAATTGCAGTCTATTTTTATTTCTAATGCTGAAGAGAAATGCATTGTTTACTCTATGTGACTGTAACCCAATTAATATTGTAAATGGCTGTTCTAAGTTGAATGGTAAAATTTTCATGAGAGGTGACTCAATATAAGCATCATTTGTTAAAATGACACCTGATTCTGTTAAATGGACCCCCTGAGGTAATGGTGTAGATGATGATGGTACAGCAGTCACTGATGATGAGTGTCTTACATCTTTGTCTCCAAGGCCTAGTTGATGAAGAATATCTATGCCTGGAAATTAAAAAGAGAGAGAGAAAGAGAAAGAGAAAGAATCTTACTCTTATGCATTCAGGTGTTCATATGAATGTTTGAGTATGAGAAAATATTCCTTGTCTGTATCAACAGTAATCCCTAAAATAAGCATGCTCTATCAATTTCCAGTTCATGAGAAACATGGGGAGGAAGAGTAAAATGTTATACTCAGTAATTTGAAACACACACACGTAAGCACATACTAATGCGTGCATACCTGCACACACACACACACACACACACACACACACACACATACACACACACACACACAACCAATATTCCTAAACCTAAAATTTAGTAAATGCTCTCTCATTTTTCTCAATCAATTAAGGAATCATATTTGTTACACCAATGAATATTACTTCTTTAATTTGGAACTTAAAATTTTATGACTTCTAAGTTAAAGAGAAACTGGGGACACAGTTACAAAAAGAAATTTATAACTTGAAAACCACTGTACAAATTAAGTTCACATAATCTTTTAAACTATAATTTTTCAGGTTTTTTTCCCTGATAGCCTTCTGGAAATTTACAAGTTACGCAAGAGTTCTCCCTGTGCCTAATACTGTAAGGGTGTGCTACACATAAAGTATTCAGTCACCCTGATATCTCCTGGACAAGCAAACTTAAATTCCTATTGTTGATGATTACCATACTTTTTCTTTCCCTTCCAAGTTTCTCTTGCTTCTGTTATTTTCTCAGTCCTCCAAGGTAATTTTTATCAAAGCAATTTTTAGACCCTTTCCAATATTTGTTACATAATATGAAATATAGGTCGTATATAACATAAACTTTATATATAGGTTGTACATAATATAAACTTTATATAATAATGGCTTTTTTCTGGTTTATTTTCATTGCAATGTTACTAATAGTATACTGTTTATCTCCCCTATCCAATTATAAACTCTTGGAAGACAGATTCTGTGTCTAATTAATTATTGGATATCTACTATTCTTGCCTTGCAAATAGTTCTATAATTTCTAAATGAATGAATTTGCCCCACCAGGATCTTATCAGATGTCGCATTTCTTTCTATAGTCTTATAAAATTAAATACAATTTGTGAAGAATGATGAATCCTGTATTAGAGATGTAGACCAGTTTAGTCAGGCACAGGATCATTATTATTTTGGGTGTTATAAATCTCCTACCTGTAACTTTGTATATATGTAATCATTTCTAACAAGAAATGTCAAATAATATGAATTCATAACTGTGATAAGTAAGAAAAAAGCTTTTGTAGATTAGCCAAAAAAATGTGAATTATCTTAGTTTTTCCTTTATAGGAAATTAGTAGATATTCGATAATTCATGTTTATTACAAATAGCAAAAATAATAGCAAATATCACTCATGCATAATCTAGCAATACAATTAAAATGTTTTCTCACCAGAGAGCTTTATAAAATACTCAGGTGTTTTATTTTAAGGTTATAACAACCATCATTTGTAAAGCAGTCATAGTTTTATAATAGTTTCAAATGTTATAAATGTTTGTATCTAAAACAGTATGACAGTGTCTCTTAAACTTTTCCACCAAAACATTCCTAACAGCAGTTTAGAATTATATGTGTCTCCAGGAATTTGGAGGAATATTTTAAAGAGGCCCCATAAAAATAAAAAAAAAAATCTTTGACTTCTCATGTTTTACAATTATAATTTAGGAAAAACTTTAATTTTTCTCTATAACATGGCTATATTTGTTTTAATATATAACATGAATTACCAGTGAAATCAGTTAACTATCCCCATCCTCAATCTTCATTGAAAATTTATATTCCTGAAACAACTGTCTGCTTAGTCAGTGACTCTGAGTATTCCTTCACAATGGTTTCTGCCTCTAAGAAGGTGCATATCTCAATCTGAGAAGTAATCTATGTTAGAAACACTGCTCCTTTGAAAATCACGACACTTAAAGTGTATATAATCATATATTTTGTGAAAGTTATCATTATAATATGCCAAATAGGCTATCCTTACACATAGGAAGTACCATATTTATGTGGCATGATATCAAGGGCTTCTACTTACCCAAAGAAATAACCCCTGCTATATACTGCCTCAAATTTCTGATTCCATTAAAGGAAATATCACTGGAAAGGATATTATTTGAAACCTGTATTATATATACGTGTGTGTGTGTTTAATATTTCATATATTTTCCTTCAATTCTAATTTAGAGTTTTTATAACAAATAGCTGAGATTTTTAAACAGTCAAAAGTCTTTGAGAATTTGCTATTCATAAGTCTCTTGTTATCAAACCATCCTTCCATTCCTGAAATAAAAGCTACTTGATGGTTATATGTTACTCTTTTGATACCTTGCTGGATTCTTGAAGAACAACGTATGTAGAATCATTACATCAATATTTACAAGTTAAGACTGGTCTGTTTTTTCTCATATTGTACTACCTTTATCAACTATAGTATTGATTCATTATTTTCTATGACCTAGTTTAAGTAGAATTTATTAGGCTAAGTTTTAAAAACAGAAAGTACAAATTAGACACCATTCTCTAATCACAATGCTAACAAGTTAGATTTTAATAACAAAATCAGAAGAAAAAAAAACAAAACCTTTAACTGGAAAATTTAAAGATTTTCTCCTAAATCATTGGGGTCATTGGGAAAATACAAATAAAAATTACACAGTTTTTAGAAAAATAACAAAAATTAAAATACTACATACCAAAATCTATGGGATATAGCTTAAGAATTATATTTTAGATAGATTTGTATTTTTGTTCTGTTATCTTTAAAATGATAAAAATACACAATGTCCCTAGTCCTCTTTATTTAGACATATCTATTATTTCTTTCCTATGGATAGTGTTTCCTTTTCCTTTTTTCTCCCTTCCTCCCTTTCTCTTACTATCAGAATTAGCTTCCTAGTATTGACTTTTTTATTATTAAATATCTTTATAGTACTTTTTATTTGATTTATCAGCTTTGGATAATATTAATTCCCAGCCAGCTTCTACATATGAGCCAATCAGCAAACTTAATACACTTCCTGTCTTTTTTCCCTCTTCCCTTCCCATTTATCAGTGATTGGACCATTCCTACATTTGTATGGCATTTATATTCAGTTCTGTTCCCAAATTTTCTTCTTATACAGCCAGTCTTTGTAATCGTTATTTCAGTTATTTCCTTTTTGATGAAGTTTATCCTCTATTAGTCTCCTCAAGAAGCGTTCATGGAAAATTTCCTGGATATTTGACTTTTTAGAATTGTTTGTTGATAGCCTCGTATCTTAAGTTTCACTGGATATAAAATTCTTTGCTGATACTTTCTTTGAATATCTTAGAGATATGATTCCACTGTCTATTGGTGTGGAATGTTAGGAAAGAAAGGTCTGAAGTCGGCTAATTTTATCTCTCTAAATGACTCATTTTTTTTTTTTACCAACATGCCCCAAAGAGCTGTTCTTTATCTTTGAAGTAAAGTGCAGATTTTATTAGGATATGGCTTCATATTGACCATTCTGGATAAATGTTTCCAGGCATATAGATGCCCATTTGTTGTTTAGATTCAAGTTTAGTTGTTGTTGCTTGCTTCAGCAAAGTTTTCATGAATTACATCCTTGAATATTCTATTTTATAGTTTTGGTTTTCTTCTTCAAAAATTCCTATTATAATAATGTTTAATCTCCACTGCTGTCTTCTGTGTCTGTCATTCTTTGTAATCGCTTAAAATATGTTCTTTATCTTCAGTTCTGTTTGATTTTCTCACTTCTGTCTTTACCATGTTTCCTATAATGTCTAATCTCTCTTTGTGCTCCTTCCAATTTCATCTTGATTTATAAAATTGTTTTCCTACGACATCTTTTTCTGAGTTCTACAAGCTCACAATTCATATCCTTTTAATGTCTTGCCATCTCTTCCTTCTCCTGAGTTCTTATATTTCTGTTTTATGATCTTCCTTCATAGAGGTGATTTTTTTTATGTGTACATTCTCATTTTGCTCCTTTCTCCTATATCTTCCTTATTGTAGCCTTCTATTTAGTCTGTTATAGTTACTTTTAGTTACTTATTATTTCATAGCCCAACAATTTATAGAAGGATGCTGGGGAGAAGGCAGAGGGCCATGCCTTCCAAATCTCAAAACCCCAAAGGGCTCTTTCAGCATTACCAGAGTTTCCTTCTCAAATGGCTTTTTGATATACCTAGCCTTTTTCTCTGAACCTTCTAGCAGAACTTCTATAGCCAGCCTAGCTGGCAACACTTTACTCTCCCTCCTCTCTATCCATTCTCATTGGTATATGCTTCAGAATGAATCCTTCACCTTAGGAAGTAGATTTGTGCATGTTTTGGGATCTGTCCCCACTGGTCATTTAGCTACTATGTGTGCTTCTTGACCCCGGGCAGCTTCTGTCCACCCCAGTTCCTGTAGCACTTGTTTCGTACAAGGGCTAAAGGTGAAATATTTCAGGGTATGCTCCTCATCTTTAGGAAGTGTGGTTATGCTGGCACTTATATGCTTTTGTCAGCATATTTTGAGTTTGCAAATATTATCAGTCCCCTAGTTTTGCTGAAAATGGAGTTTTCAGGGTTATTATTTCATTAGTTTTTTTATGATATCTAGAAATGGAAGAAGATAATATCTCATGGTTTCAAGTTCATACACTTCAAGTATATACCTATTTCACAGATGAAGAATTTGAGGCCCAGAAAGATTAAATAACCTGGTCAACATCACACAGCTGATAAATAGTAGAAATGAATATGAGTCCAGTCAGTGTAGCTTCAAAGTCTCTAATCTTTGCCTCATCACACTGCCTTACAGGCAATGTGTTCTCCACATCACCTCACATTCCCTTTGGCAAGCCTCAGGAATTAATCATTATTCCCACAGAATCTCACAGTGGGGAATATTCTGTAAGTGGCCACCAGAGTTGGTATCTGAGTGCATTTCTAAATGTTAATCCAGTTTTTCACTTTCAAATCTTAGTGTGAATATGTTTAACAAATGCTT